CCCCTGGCCCCAAACGTCATGCAAGCTAGCAAGCAAGCAAGAGGGAGCGGGAGAGCTACGACGTTCGGGGGGTTCGTGGGAGGGGATGCGGGGGATGGGTTCAGGCTTCAGGGTTTGTAAGTGTCCTTCGCACGGATAGCACTCAAACGTAAAGGGGGTACGGGCCACTTGAGGGCCCTGCCCTGCGCATCAACCCCAAAATAGATCTCAGAGCATGAGCCTGAGGAGGGCCGGTTAAAGGAATGGATGTCTGGCCAAACTGGCCGGCTTTGGGGGTTCTCGCATCAGCCCAGACTTGGACAGTGCGGCATCGCCCGGAGGGTCACGCTGCTACTAGTCTGCGTCAGAGGGATAGCGAGAGAGGGAGAGAGGGAGAGCAGGATAGGGAGGAACTTGCTTTTGTCAGCATGCAGGAGCACGACGGAAGCGCAATCCTTATTTTTCCAACATTACATGAAGAGTGTTGCATGCGGCGTGCCGTGAGCCAAGGCCCAACTTGTTTCGAACGCAGGGATGAGATACAGCCTGGTCAGGAAAAGGATGCGAATAAGGCATGCCGAACATTCGACAGTCTACACGCTTCGACAGGCCGCGTCGCTGGCGGAAATGGAAATGGCCAGAACGACGGTTTGTGCGACGGCAGTGCGTGGCACATTGCTGCTGCCGGTGCCCGCTTTGCTGCGTCCTGGTCCTCTCGACGCTTCGGAGCCTCCGGAAGATGGGGGGGCCACTCGACTCCAAAAAGCATTTTTCACCTCTTGCAGGAGCTTTGTCCACGGGGCGGCATCTTGCGCGTCGTCTTGGGCGTGTCGGTCACGACAGAGAAGGCACGCTGCACTGCCTTCAGCCATGTGAGCCGGAGAGTTAGCGCCTGAGGACACGACGGAGCTTCGAGCCAGCCTCGGCTTTGCAGGAGACTCGCATAAAAAATAGCTCGCATGCCAGCTCGTCAGATCTCGTCAGCCGACACGGGAGGTCCTGATGGCCGCTGGCTCGACGGGCGCACCGCTATGCTGCTACTCACGGGCCTCGCAGTGCAATCAAAATGGTGCTGCATACAGATCCCTATATCGCGTGTACGACATCACATGCCAGAGAATTTGCGATACGTCTGGGATGTGTTGAAGCGGACAGGTCAGCAGCGAGCGCCAGCGACTGGAGAAAGAGCTGGAGCTAGCAAGCGCCCCAGGAGGCCTTCTCAAGTTGAGGCATGGGACAACTGCCTTCGCAAGGTTCAGCACAATCTTCGCCAGCATACAGAGCTTGCAGACGAGGCGGACACGGCGCATGCTCACACCTCTTCCAGTTGAGGCTTAAATCACTTTCCCAAGTGCTCGCCCTCGCCCTTGGGCCCTGCCAGGCTCACAGCGAGATCGAGCGAACTTGTGGCGGCATGAAGGCCTTTCCGCGGTTTGGGGTCCCAGAAGGAGGGTGACCCGTGCGAGTGAGCGGAGGCCTCGGTGCAGCATCACATGGCAACCTCCCTGCGACTCCAAGAGCGGCTCTCAGAAGCAGCAAAACTCACGAGACTCGCAAGGATACCAATGGCCAAGGAACCCTTGGATGATGCTGCGTATTGAGGAAGCTCAGCTTCAGCCTCACAACATTTTACAAGCTCCGTCCGTTTTCTGATCATCCCTACGAAGCGAAGATGATATCAATGTCGGTGGCTAGCAGCAGGAGTTTCACTTCCTAGAGAGACGCGTGAGACGTCGGCTAATGATCTGAAAAAGCTTCCACGCAGTTGTGCTTGCTAAACGTGTTCACTCCAAGAGCTGCCGCAGTACGCAGCTTGCGACTGCTGCAAAATCAACTTGAAGACGTCCTTGGTGTCTTCTGAATGTTTCTGTTTATCTCCGTGTGTACTGATAAGCATAATATCATAATGACATGAACAGTCACAGCAGTACTTCACTATCACCCCTCCTCCTGCTGCTGCTGGTACTGCCACTGCTGCTACTACTGCTGCCACTGCTACTGAGCTGCTACAATTACTACTGCTTCTGCTGCTTCAACTGCGACTGCAACTGCCCAGTTTGCCGCTTACCACTCCTGCAGAAGGGTTGCTAGTGTATAGATTCGCCAGTTCTACTACTGTTACTGCTGCCATTACTGTCACTATGAAATTACCACTACCTCTACGGCGACGCTATCGTGACTCTTGCCGTCGTTGTGGTCATTACTGTTATTGCTACTCTGGCACGAAGGGTACAGTCATGTTTCACAGAAAGCTTGAGCAGATACTTGTCGAGCGGTTTGGGTTTTTAAGTCAGGACACGAAGTTTTGACAAAGGCTCAGATGGCTTGTGCAACGACGATGCAGTGCTGTCCTTGACTGGTTTGCAGAGTCTTCTGGCACTTGTCGCATTTGTGGCGATGAGATTGCGGGAAGCCAAGTGCAATCACGACACAGTGGACGTCGGGCACGTGGGTTGGACGGTTGAACGCTCATGGGTGGATACCATGAGCCCGCGCTTCGGGCTCGAAGCTTCGTCCAAGCCGGGGATTATAGCACGCATTTCCGAGTTTTCAGGTTTCCCGGCCTGAAACGCATTTCGGAATCCGGGATGAGGGAAGTTTGCTTGATTCACCTGCATTGGCCAACGTGTGACGCAAGCGTAAGGATGTAGCCGTCAGACTAGCAGACGCTCAGTCAGAACTGAAAGAGACAGCCACTGAAAAACTGCCATGGAGAACACCGACGAGGCAGAGGCTGTGGAGGACCCGACGGGTCAGGAAGATGATGCTGAAGAGAAGCCCGGCGAAGAGGCGCGGCGACAGCCCGCCGAGCCGCGTCGTTGGAACTGGGGGTCAGCGTAAGTGCAGATATTCGCTTATGATTATATTTCGATTGTGTGTTTCTCGTCCCTTCTGTTTGTGTTCTTGTTGTCTGATCTCTTGTGTTCTTCTTTTTGTTCATCTCTTGCTCTCATTCTCTTCTGTTCTAGCCCTTTCTTCCTTCATTCATCTCGTCTTCTCTTCTCGTCTTTTCCTTGTTGCTTCTTCTCTTCTGTTCTTCGTTTCTTCTCTAGTTGTGTGTTTCTCCTCTGTTCGTTTCTTATTTGCTTCTTCTCTGCTCTTCGTTGTTTCTTTCTTAGTCTCTTCCATTCGTCGCTTCGATTTTCCCCTTGTATCCTCGTCTTACCTTCTTGTCATCTTTTCTCGTCTAGTCTTCTTCTCTGCCTTTCTTTGTTCTCTTCTCCTCTGTTCTTATATGTTCTTCTGATGTTCTCTTCGTTTAACAGTCGTTTCTTCGTCGCGTCCTGCGCGTCTTCTCTCCTCTTGTCTTTGTGCGCTATCTTCTTTTCTGGTGTTTTCTCTTCGTTTCGCCGATTGTTGCTGTATATGTGTCTTTCGTTTGTTCGTCCTCTTTGATAGTTTGTTTCTTCGCTTCTTCTCTTCTGGTCTTCTCTTCCTGCCTTGTAGTCTTACATTAGTCTTCTCTTCTTTTCTTCTTTTGCGGTCTTCTTCTCTTCTCTTCTTGGCTGCAGGCGGCTTCCAGCAGCCGCAGGAGATGGGCCTTCTTCCGGCGCTCAGACCGCTCCGGAGAGAATCGCCAGGAGCTCCAAGTGGAGGCGAAGATGGAAACGGACCCAATGAAGCGGACGTTGCACTGGGAGTTTTCTGTGGCGGTTTCTGCCCTTCAGTACGTCGGCTCTGAGTCGGACATCCGTTGCTTTCTCTCTGTGGGCATGCAGCCCTGCAAGCCACTGGGAAGACCAGTGAAGCTCCTTACTCAATATTCTCCATGCTACAGGCTTGAGAAGGGTGGCAAGCTCGTTTTCGACCAGCCCCGAATCTTTTACCAGCGCAAGGCCTTCAAAGCGACCCCTCTGGAGTTGGGGAAGTTGGAATTGAAGATTGGCATGTGGAAAGTCTCACGCTGGACCTTCAACTCCTTCTATGGGGTGGGCAGCAAGACCCTGGAACAGATCATGAGCCGGGAGTCCCAGACCTCGATCCGAGTTAGAGAAGCTTTGACCCAGGCAGACCGGGACGAGAAGAAGAAGAACCGAAGACCCGTTTCGGATGTTGGCGTGGTCTACGGAGAATTCATCCTGGAAGAGCTCTTTGACGTCAAGCTCTTCTTCGAGAACTGGAAGTTCTTCCCGAAACCTGGGGCCAAGCTTGGAGGGAAGAACGAGGAGAAGCAGCTCAAGTTTATCGTTCCCAAAAACTTCCGCGCAAATCCGGCCAAGAGCAAAAACTGCCAAACCGCATCAACGAACTGGCGGGGCGAGGGATCCGCTCTCGAACCTTACACCTGGAAGCAAGCGGACGTCGCGACGCTCAGGGCGACGAGGAAGCTGCGGATGCGCCAGATAAAAGGGGAAGTTTTTAGATGGGTCCCTATTCTAGGACTCTAGAATTCTAGCATCTACCTGAGGTCTTTTTTTTAGGCTGCCCTCTGACAGGAGAAGCTTGCAGCAGATGTACTTTCTCGCAAAGCTCTATAGTTCCAAGAAGACGGTTGGTGACAAACATCCACTTTCAAAGTTCGTCGCCAGCGCAGTCTTCAACTTCCAGTCTGTTTTGGACGTACCCTTCTTTAAAGGGCAACTGAAGCGCCTGTCCCACCAGCTTGAGGATTTCGACATGGGAAGAGTTGAAGGTCGCCTCTTTCTGCCCATAGATTTCTCGCCCCCCTTAAGCCTGCTGTCATTCCCTTGAAGGCAGTGTGACGTGCATCTTTTGCCCAGTTGGGCAGATCAGACCTTCACAGCTGGAGATGTATCAGCCGAGAACCTCAAGCTCCGTAGGTCATCTCAACAGAGCCTCGGGCCGCAAGCTGCGCAAGCTGCGCGACCGGCCCGCAACCGTATGCCCGACTGCCAAGGCCAAGAGGTGCACCTCGTCGTGAGAGTTCAAAAGTGCGAAGGCCTGGCAGTGGCGGATGATGAAAAAGGCTCCTCCAGCCCCTTCGTCCGCGTCAGCTGCCTGCCAGCAACGAAAGAATTTGTGTAGAACTACGACGACGACGACGACGACGACGACGACGACTACTACTACTACTACTACTACTACTTCATGCTTTCTTCTGCTTCTGCTTCTCCGTCTATATCTTCCTACATTCTTCTAGCCGCTACCTCCTCCTACCCGAGTACGATGCACAACTGCCACGAATCACAACAAATAGGTCTTTGAGCATGACATCAGCATCGATCCGCAGTAGAAGAGCAGGAAACCACGAGGGTTTGGATCATTGACATGTGGTAAGCCGATCTTTCACTGCTTTACCATCTGAGGTTGGGACAATATGATGCAGACGTCTCCGGTGCTGAAAGACACAATCCGACCAGCATTCAATCACACTTTCTACTTCCCCGTCCGATTTTTCAACGAACGCGTCACCTCGCGAAGGTACTTGGAGACTGCATTTCGTCTTGAGATGAAGGCCAAAGGTGACATCCAGATCCAAGCCTGGCACTTTGACGAGGCTTCCTCCACCTCCCTGGGCGTGGCCAGCATCTCGCTGCTTTCCGTCTTGAGCAGTGGCCCGACGTAGATCCAGACTTTCGTGAGACATTCGTGTTGTTCCGTCTGATGGTTCTAAGATGTTCTAAGGGATTTCTACCTCGGGCTTATCATGACATGTTCCAACTCCTTAGTCGATCTTCAAGCGGGATGGTGAAGCCCATTGCGTTGATGCCGCTTTTGAGGCTATTTCCCAAAGGGGCAAGTTTGATTTGACCCTTGTGTAACGGCGTGACAGGTAATCACATGGCCCTGTGCACTTTGCGCGGGCGTGTGCAAGCGGAGAAGGTGCTCGAGGAGGATATGGAGGATGTGCAAGTAAACAAGGATGTACAGTGGTACGATCAGGAGCGCCAAGTTCGCTGGTATGATGGCTTTCGCACTCCTCTTGTTGGATGTCAGATTATGAATCACAACGAGGCACTTGTTCACTGCGAAGCATTTTTTTACCCTGGACTTCCGAGCGACTTCAAACAGCTGGCTGAGCACGTAGAGGATACATCTGCCGAAGACACTTTCTGGAGAACCAAAAGGTCGGAATTCCAAAAGCGAAATGAAGCATTCGCAGAAAACTATGCAGGACCCTTTCCTGACGCAATTGGTGCTAAGCCTTGTTCAATCGAGGTGTCCCGCGTCTCAGAAGTACGCACGTTTCCGTGCCTGGGCCTTGACCAGATGAATTTGGAACCCATGCCTTTAATGTCCTTCTTGTCGGACGTCATCGTCAGTCAGGAGTACACGAGACCCGCAAAGCTTCTGCACTGGATCCATTGCATTACGTACAGGACGAATGCGAAGCAAGAGCGGACCGGACTGATCTGGGAAGACATGTGGAGAGATCCGCAGTTCCTGCTCTTCAGCCGTGCAGGCTCTCCGCAGGACCACGCGATTTTGCTGTGCTCTGTTCTTCGAGGTATGTCCCGCGATGCATTTGTGGTGAAAGGAACTGTCCGGGTGCCGTCAGACTCAGGCAAGTCCCGACTCGTGGAACATGCCTGGGTCATGACGCGGGAAGATGGTGGGTGGGTGACTTTTTGGGAGCCCTCCACTAGAGAGATGTACCACCTGCCGCAACGCTGGGTAAAGCGGAAGAGTGTGCTTTCAGCCACTGCGAAGAGCGCGGAGGCTTTGGATTTGGTCCAGAAAGAGGACGAAGACGACAAGGACTTCCTTGTGGCGCAAGACCGCGCCACAGACGAAGTCCAGGACATAATGGTTGAAACAGGCGACGTCTCAGATGTTCCAAGGGTCGGCCGAGCTCCTCGTGCAAAGCAACGTGCCGGAAATGTTTTGAAGGGCCGCGATGCGGTGCGCCATGAAATGCTAGAAACCCAGCGGCGTTTGCCCATAGCGCCTCGACCTCAACTGTTGTCCGAGGGCGAGCGAGCGACGCTCGTGGACTGGCTGCCATATGATTCCATTGATGTGGTCTTCAACGCAGACCAGCTTTGGGCCAACCATCAGAATCACCATCCAGCCTGCATCACCTACACTTTCGAGGATGCAGTACCTGTGAATGCGCAGGAGAACACGGAGGGCACGTGGGCAGCACTCCTGTCTGAGGAGGAGCGTAAGCAGATTGCCATAAATCCTGTCACTGCCAACGTGCTCATGGAAGCGCCCATGAAGCCAGCGCTTGTCCAAAAGCTCAAGGATCAGCTTGTGGTTGACTCGCAGGACACCTCCCCTGTAGCGTGACATTGCATGCTCTTGCGTCCTGCGGTCGCTGTCAGGAGAATCTGCGCCTCCTGCGAGGGAGGAATGGCAGAGAAACCAGCTTTGACCAGCGAAGCGCATTGCTTCACCAGTCATGCCCACAGATGTCCTCAGTTTCAGCAAGCATGCTTGCACCCAGAAGAGTGGCCTGCGGACTGGAGGCTCGACCATTTCATCGAAATCCACGAGACACTGATGGGCCTGGATATTGACTTTTGTCCGCTTTGGACCAAGGACGTGTCGTGCTTTTCACCTGGATGGTCCCGCGCTGTTATAAGCGTCAGCACTGTGGACAGGATCGCAGCGAGTGGAAAGAGGAAGAAACCTACCTTGCGAGTCTGCTGGAGACCCGAGCGCAGGACATCGCGGTTGCAGGGACAGCAGCAGAATGGCACAGTCTAGAGTCTACTCTCGTAAGTCCCTGTCCCCAGGAGCCTTGGAACAAGCTCGGGACGCCTTTTCGTCAGCCTGACACGCGCGAGCCCCAGATATTGGTGCCAGTTCCTTAGAACTGCTGCTAAGGCTACAAGGACCATTGTTCCGCTTGCTTCTGACGGTCTTCCTTTATCAGATTGCTTTAAAGGGCTCACGAATTCGGAGCTTCAAGGACCGGCCAGTACAGATACTACTCGGCCATCCAGGCTTGTGCGATATCTGATTGTTTCCAGGTAGCAAGTTTTTTTTGGCACAGGCCAGCGAGGAGAGTGGTTGGAAGGAGGTGCTGGCAAAGATTGCCGGCTTCGTGCGAAGCCCTGGGCCCAATCATTGCGATGAAAGGCAAGGGGACTGGCACATCGGCGTCTTTGGTCAGGTAAGTCCATCTTCCCGACCATGAAGGGCAAGGCCTGCGCTGCAGCTCTCACCCGTCTACAAAGAACTGCCTTCGCCAGGTCTTCACAGGCTTTCCTCTTCATTTCTCTTGTGCAGACAAGGCTGGCTTTTCAGAGATAGTTCCCCAGTCTGGCACTGGGTTGCATGGAGGACCTGGTTCGAGACTACATTATGGACTCACCCGAGTGCGACATGTGATCTTGACAGGAAGCTGCTCTGCGAACTGTATTGTCTCATAAGCTGCGTAGCAGGTACCAGGAGCTGATTCAACTTGGCGACCACGCCATCTTCACCGTCTACTGTCGCATCTTTCCCATGGCGGGAGGCGCGTGCCACTGGTTGCAAGTTCAGGCCATCAAAGGATTCTGTTCTTTATGTGCTGGCTCAGACCAGTCGTGTAAGTCAGGTTCAATACAGGCCCTGAGTGTTATGACAGGAATCTCTTCCACATGGTTGTTCTTTGGAACACAACTTCCACTGGAGGCCCGACCCTCCTGAGCTTGGTCCTCTGCTGTGAAGACATCGCATCTTGCAGGCATAGCTGTGGCTCGAACCTCGAACTGCAGTGCTTGAGCTGAAGCCTCCGGTGATCAGCATTCTCACCCTTAGCAGTGGATGTGTGTGCCAGATGTGCAAAAGACGCGGGCGGACACACTTGCTGGTGACAGCAGACAGCTTGTCGACAAAAAGAGCCTGGGCACAGAAGCCATTATCAATCGCAACGTCTGCCACTGTTCTACAATGTGACTCCACATGTCGAAGACCGATGGTCGTGAGCAGTTGCATCTGTTGGCCAACATCCATGTCCATGCAGGTTTGGCATGTCAAGTTTGACGTCCTGCAAAACTGCGCTGTAGATTTGTCAGCTGTTGCTGCTGGCATAGCTCATGGGATGGGTAAGTTGGAGACGGAGGTGTGCTACAGACCGGGCAGCTGTCTGCCTTGCCTGACAGGCATGGCTGCACAAGACACGTCAAAAACCAGTTTGCAGCTTGGGTTTCCATCCAGTTGCGAGGCACTGCGAAGTCTAGTAGTCCGTCCTGGAATATGGGAAGGGAAGTTATCCGTTTGGTTTTTGAATGGCGAGGAGATTGCTACTCTTCTTTGTGATGTCTCCTGCTTCCTTGCCCGGGCTCGTCTTCCCGAGCCGGCTGTTGCTGGCCTGTCCATTGGTCGCATTGTTGCTATACGCAAGCTTGCGGGCGGCACACGCGGCTTTGTCGTCGGAGATTTCTCGCGTCGACTGTGCCCGTACCCTAACCCAACAAGTCACATCACACTTCCAGGCTGCGTGCAACCCGCACCAGTACGCCCTGTCGTCGCGGGCAGGGGCCGAAGCCTTGGTGCCAGCCCGCACGCAAGCTGACACACATCTCACAGTCGTTTCAGTTGATGCCACGGCCGCATGTGACCTTGTCAGCCGCCATGCGATGCGATGCGCACTGCAGTGAAGGATTCGCCGGCTCTCTCCCCCTTACTGCCCTTCGCACGCCCGTGGTAAGCGCGCGAGTCTGTCTACCTCTGGACCGCCGGAGGGCAAACAAGCTGACTCCGTTATGTCGGCCCTCTTCTTGGTCGCTCTCGCTCCAGCCCTCTACTATGACCTCCAACGGGAGCTCCGTTCCTCTAGCACCTGCTAGCATGCTTTGGTGATGTCTACATCCTTGTCTCACCCGACCGGGTGGCACTGCTCTACCGCCGTCTCGAGGAGCTGATCTGGCAAAGGGCCCGACTGCGCTTGAATGCCTCCAAGATTCGTGTGTGGAATGCGGCCGGCGTCCTGCCTGACGCGGTTCCGCAACTTGCTCCAGAGTTGGCAGTGCGGGTTCACTCCCACCTGAAGCTACAAGGGCCTTCGCTACGCCCCACGATGATGCAGTTCTCGCTTGCCTGGACACGCTAGTGTCCTCTGGGGCCCCGAGCGGGCTACCTTTGCTGCCACTGCTCGGGCCCAGCTTGCCGTGCGCCATGGGGGCTTGGGACTTCGCAGTGCGCCACGGCATGCACCGGCCGCTTATTGGTTTTCTTGGGCCGATGTGCTGCCTGTCATCATAGCTCTCGGGATCCTGCCTTTGCGCGTGCGCTCGTCGACACTCTTGGAGGGGGGTTCGTGCAACGTTGACGGCATCTGGGTTTGTCCCTCCACCTTGGCCCGAGCTGTTGACGACTCCGGCTCCGCACCCTGGCGCTGAGGACGAAGAGCCTGATCTCGACACTACACGTGGATGGCAGCGTCCTGCATCCAGGGCCGTCGACGAGTTCTACTTCCGCTCCATCCTTCGCGAGTCAAGCCCTCGCCGCCGCTCTGCTGGACTCGCAGGCAGGTTTGGTCGCTGCGCGAATCTTCGCGGCCAGGTCCCCTGAACTCTCACTGGAACCGTCGTGCTTCCGAGTGTTGCTGTTGCGGCACCTCCGGCTCCCTCCGCAGACGTGTTCGGGGATCACTTCGCTGCATGCCCGCTCCGCAGTGTTATGCGCTACAGCTGCCCACTACAGCATGCTGCCGCCCATGTCTGCCATGAAGCTGGTGCCATACTCTTGCAACCAACCTCACTGTCGCACCCTGCCGACAACATAACCGCCGAGTCGAGGTCATAGCAAACGGCTTGCCGCTCTAGGGAGGGGTCCAGGTTGCGGTCGACACCACCCTGGTGTCGCCCTTGACGCGCCGGCGCGCGCATCTGCCGGGAAGCCGGAGCGCGGGTCTCCACGAACGTCGCTTTGCGGGAGCTCAACCTGGACGTCCCCGTCACGGAAGGTCGGGGAATCGAGGTCGATGCAGACGTCCTGCCGCCCTGGAGATGCGCGCGAATTGCGATCGACACAACGCTGGTCAGCCTCGTCACCGTCCGGCGAGATGGACTCCTGCGCGTGCGAGCTCACGCACGACCGGCACGGGCTCCGCAATCAGCCAAAACGCGCAAGTTCCGCGCCTGCCCATGTTCCACCCAGGCGGGCAGGTGCGATGCCGTTTGGTGGTGTTCGGCCTGGAGGTCGGCGGGCGCTTCGATCGTCAGGCCGTGGCGCTGCTCCGACGGCTTGCTCGCGCTTGCGCCCGGGATCGGGTCCCGTGGGCCCGGGCCGCAGCAATTAATCGCCGCGCTCACGCGCCGTTGGAGCGCACTCGCAGCGCTCGCCGCCTTACGCGCGCGAGCCTGCTGGAGCTGCGATTCGCCCCTGCGATGCCAGCGACGGTGCAGAGCCGCCGCTGGGAGAGCTCCTGGCGGAGCCGCCGTAGGCATACTATAGTTAGTTAACGGTAGTCAGGTAGTTCCGCTGACGCGCGGGCGGGCCAGACGGCAACAAAAAAACTTTGAATCATCGCCCAAATCAGCGACGCACGATAGCGCGCCTCCGCCAAAGGCAGCCACAGCATCTCCAAAATCCTCGCCTCTGCCCAACAGGCCCGGTGATTCAATGGACGTCGTCGATCCCATGGAAAATCTCTCTCCCGCAGAACCAGGAGGCCTTCATGGATGATACCTGAGTGTGCAAATGAGTCGTGAGCCACCAGTGACGAGGCCCTCACATTTAATCGCCTTGACATATGAAGCCTCAGACATTTACGGCCCATCGTGACCCCGAGATCCTACACTGTCTTTGCCGCGCATGTACTCGACAGAATTCCACGAAGAGGACTTTGTCTGTAGCCGCCCGTAGCTTCTGTACCTTGCGCAGCTTGCCCTTTTTGTCGACAATGTTGTGATTGGGTTTCTTCATGGTAGCTAAACCCAGCAAACAAGTCTACGACCTTTCACTTGAACTCAAAATCCTCGCTGCACGTAATGCAAAGTAGGACATGTGATATGTTTGATACTGCCGGGTGCGGACACGACGCGAATGCAAAAAAAACAAAGAAAGACAAATGGAAACGCACCTTGCCTCAGCTTTTTTTGGTGGCTTCTGAAAGCCAGCGACCGTGAGATCATCAAGATGCTGCTGGCGGACAAGCGGATGGATCTTTCCGGAGAGTTGTGCCCCAGATGTTCAAGTGGAGCCTTGACCAAGCTCCATACGAGTGGTGGCCCTCACCACCTGGAGCATCGTTGCAACAAATACAAGTGCGCAGCCGCTATCACACCTGCGAGAGCTATCTTGGTACTTCGTCTCTGGTTTCTGATGGCCTGGTGGCCTATTATTCGGGCGGACACTTCGCGTCGCTTTGTCTCTGGTTTCCTTTTGATGCCATCCATCTCCGCCTAGATTCGTAGAATTCATAATAGTAGCAATACGTGGCAGCTCAGAGGTATGCTCGCTAAGACAAGCTTCACAGATCTTTTCCTGTGGCTTCCCTTGGCTTCCGGGCTCCCCAGGTTTGCCCTAGTATTTCAGGGGTCGTCGCACCAATCTTCGCCCTCCCCGCTTTCGCCGACGTAATTGCACCTCTCGACTCCTTAGCGACTTCTAGCACACCCTGTCGTCTTCACCTTTTCTTCTCAGAATGCATGGGCCCGCAGAAACAGAGTCTGCAGATGCAGTCCGCCGTGCTCCTCCCAAGGCTTCCACAGTCTACCATCCATCTCGTGTTGGATATCAGCCGACTGCCACTGCGCTAGCCAAAGTCGGGCCATGAACGGCCTGCCGCCGCTGTAGCCGTAGTAGTGCGAACTAACATGCTCGCCGCTTCGTTCTGCGGAAAAAAGTGCGTGGAAGAAAAAAAACAACCACAAAGCCATTGAGGAGATGGAAGTTTGCATCAGCTGGTGTTTGCCTAGTATTTACTTGGTTTTTGTTTGTTTTTGTGTAAGTACGTACATGGTATGACATAGTTGGTTTTTAGTTTGCGATAAAGGCAAAGAAGCTTTGTAGATTGCGCAAAGAATTCGTCGAAAAGGATGAAAAGATTGTGTTCGGCAACGCACTCGGGTTGACGTCGAGCCGACGAGGCTACTTTCGACAAAAGAAACATCTCAAAGGATCTGATCACCTGATCTCCAAGCCAATAAACACTACTCTATCGCGGCAATGGGCTGGAGTCGTACAGCGCGGCCAGCCTCGAAAACTCATCTTCCGCAAGCTGAACCTCATCACCCACGAGAGCACCGGGCCCAGGAGCAATTCGGAAGATCGAGTGGAAGAGCATCGCTCACGAAAAGTTTCGGGACCGCAAAGTTGTTCCCCACACTCCGCAAAAAGCTATAGGCTCAAGTGATCCATGACAATGTCACTCACTGCAAGAAGCGTGTCAAAATTAACGGCAAGTACCGGTGGACGAGCCCGCCATGTGTCACCCGGGTAACCCACGAAGCACCAGGCCGCAGCACGCGTGTCGCTCGAAGCAATCCGGGATGGTGCCGGCACGGACCGCGAATGCGAGGGATGGAAGCTTTTTCTTCTGGCCCCCCGCATGCTGTTATACCGAACCCCGGGCACCACACACG